CACTAACAGCGGATAGTTTAGGTCTGAAAAACAAATTCAATGAAACTCTGAAAGTGTACCCTCACCGGGACGAGCAGATTACAAATAAGCATATTGAGAATTTTTCCTTGACAGGAAAACATGTCCCGGACACTATTTCAGAAGCCCTTGCTACAGTGGGAAAATTCCCTTTCTGCGGAGAACACAAGCAAGCTTTCAAGACCATTGCAGCGTATTTACTCCACCATGTTACGGAATTCCACACAATACTATCACACATTTGTGTGTATTGCAAAAAGATCATATCTGACTCTCCCCTTAAACATCACACAAAAAAACATGGGCTAAATTTAAACCAGGAAATTACTACTCAGACACCACCTCTACACAGAATAGCGGAAATATTAAACAACTGCAAAATTTCTGACATCATCCTAGAAGATTACTTCAATTTCCAACAATCAACAATGATCAGGAAAACACTGCAAGGGACAGACCATCATCAAACAATAACAAGGCTACTATCACAATTTACTGCAACAAGATTCCAGTCGTATGATTTAATACGGAAAAAGTTCCCAAATGAAATGGCAACAACTCATTCCACCTGGTTTAAAAGCCCTTTCCCGCTCCATCAAATGGATATGCTAATTTCTTTCAGTAACAATGGTAATGAGAAACTCTACGGAGTTTTATCAATGCTGGAACGATTGTTGGACGGAACACCGCCCACAACAGACGCATCAGAATTTTTGAAATATAACAACTATGAAATCACGCAATCTATTATTTGCGCCAGAGTACAGCATGAACATCGAGAACTGGAAATTATCACACATCCAGAATCCCTAAAAACGGGATCGAATGTCACATTCCATCTACAACCAGGTGGTCCACATAGTTACGCAACCGATTTGACAAAACTTCAAGATATGGATCTCAGCATCTACAAGATAGTCACTGTCGGGCACAGGATGATGAAAACGACTGGACTCCTCCTCCAAGAAGGACTTAATGTTCTCAACCTCAGTAATTGTGAAGCAAACTTACTACCCACATCAGGATACGCAGGTTTAACATTCTTTGAAGATGACAATCGTACCATCATCCCCATTTCACATGAGCAAGACTACCTACAGCATGTGCAAAAAGTACTCAATATCACTCCCTTAGAAATTCCTATCCTTATAGAGTTTGACCTTTTGGGAGTATTACAAAACATCCCAGTAAACCGTTGGGAACAGTGGTTGCTAAACAATCTTGAGAAAACAATTTTGTATTTTCTTGTATCCCTACAAGGAATGTTTAATAAACCTCCACCGCCAGGTTTTAAACATAGAAACCTACTAGTCTTAGGCCAGCATACTCTGTTTCACCAGGAGCTAGATTTCACCAATCTCATCAACCTCACAAATCAAATAAACTTAACACTATCAAGAGCCGGAATTCTAACTGAAGTTCCAATTCTACTTCCTACAAACCTAGTTGGAATCAACATCAGAAGTGCCATCTCACTCAAAACGATGCCGAGAACACCAGTTTTCTTACCTAATGGAGAAAACAGTGAATACACTATTCAGTCAATACAACATTTGGTCCAAATGGGAATAGATATCTTAGATCTAAAGGAAGACACTGTTCTTTTCCCTGCATATAGATCCCACATGGTATATTTAAACTTATTATGTTGTACCAAATTATTTTGTATTTTGCCAAGTTGATTAATGCATAAACTGTAAAAAACATAAGTTCCAATATTTTAAAACATTCATCATCTTAAATTATTTAAAATAATTCTACTCTTATTATTACTTTTTATTTTAGATACACGCCCAGTTCTAGTGTTCTCCGCACTCACAGTAATTACAGTTAACACATTGCTTGCACCGTTTTACAAACAAAATCAGGTAAACATTAATAAAGCTCATGTACAACACGATATTGTCCTGTACATAAAAATAGTTGACCCAACTTATTTTGGGTCTGAGAGTTTCAAAGAAAACATTATTAAATTTACTTCTCCAAATGTAAAATTAAATCCAGCAATCACTAAGCAAACTCAAACTATTAAAAGCCAATATTCAACTATTACTAATTTACTCCTTTTGCAAGACAAATATTTAAATGAAGACATTCTTTTTTCCCCAGAAAACCAATGTCAAATTGAAACTAATGTATTTTTAGACTCATATGCTAAAAGATTAACGGAAGAACTTCAACTACTACAGGCTGACCTTCCTGCTCTTTCACCTAATCTAAAAGATGATGAAATTACCCTTCAAGCTGTTAGTGGCATCTTAATGCAGGTTATACTTGATTTACAAATAATAATTACATCTTTATATGAAGAATTACAGGAACTAGAGGCATATGTCAATCTTCAAACAACTAAGACGACCTATTTCTTAATTCAAAATTCGTCTTGTTTAAATCCGGAATTCCATGAACACATTGCTGTAAACAATGTACAACCAAGCAAATCAGGTTTAATAATCAATCTTAAAGTAGTTCAATTTCAACCAACAAATAATGCCTTTACCTTAATTGCAACAAATTATTTTCAAAACCAAGTTAACCTTAAAAATACATTTTTAATCTCAGAACAATTAGAAACCTGTAACTGTTTGTACAATAAAAATCAGGTATACACAGGTTGTCAATGTTCCAAATATAACCCTAACTGCGCAGCTGCGCTAAATGAAAACAATATTAAAAACATAATATATAATTGTGAATGGATCCCATCAATTTCACATTTTCCACAACCCACATTTAATGGAATGTTATTTTCAACATATGTTCCATATACATTAAAAGGAACATCACTCGAAACGTTAAATCCAAATCAAGATTATTCTTTACCCTTCCATGTTGTCTCATCCAATCAGTTTAAAATTTCTTATAAAAATGTAGAATTAATTTATCAAACACAAAAAAAATTAGATGCTGAAACCATTGAAATATTAAATACAGACCAAGACACAATTGACCTTTTAGAAAACACTTTTCAAGATTTAACTTGGCCTGATATCGTAACTTATTTAAGCCTCACTCTCGCAGGATCTGCAACTTTTACTATGGTTGCAACAATTATAGGTTTCTATGTAAAGAAACAAAATTACAAAGCTCCATATAGTTCTACACAAAGACGACCTGTAACATTAACATTCCAACCAATATCTATGTAATTATTTCAGATGCTGGTTCCAGTATTTTTCTCTTCGTGCCAGCATTTCCAAACCAACTAAACTAAACTTAAAGAATTCCTATTAAATAATACTATTTTTAAATCGAATTTGCAAATCCTTTAAATTTTAAAACTTTCCTAAAAACATTTAATGCATCATGTTTGATCTTTTGATACATCTCAATGTATCATATTTGTCATGTATTTAGAAATGAGGATGTTACTTTACACCTTTAACCGTTACTAAATATCGTTATGTATTGTCGTACTCTTAACTCAGAAATAAGAACGTATTAAGCGAAAGAAACTAATTAATTAATATCTACACAACGTAACATTTAAAATATTATCCCTAGACCAGTTTAGAACATTGTATTGTATGTAAATTATTTACAAATAAAGTTTGGTCCACGTAACTTCATTGCCATAGTTTATAGATCTAACAAAAAACAACTTAAAAGAAATATATCTATACTGAAAATTCAATACTTCTAATTAAAGTGAAAGTATTTCGTGAGATTATCATTTTCTTAAAATTATCAGATTGCTTCAAAATGTCCACAGTTTATAGATTTGAAAAAACCAGTGAACAAGCTTGCCAAAACCATTCTATTTTACAACATTGCATAAATGACTTCCGTCTGTTCCAAAATCAAAGAAAATTATTATCCTTACAAGCTTGGGCAAATATTGTCATTCACAAAAGTTTACCAAATTGGGCTAATCAATTAAAGATTGATCAAAGGACATTAATAAAAAATTTGATAGCGCCCATCTCTCAGAAAAATATTATTCTCATAGAATGGATTTCATGTGCACAGCACAATGACAATAGTAAAGACAAATATGCAAGGTCAGATATGTTTTGCCTTTATAATTTACAACCTTATTGCCATCAAGCAACAGAAAAGTACTTCGATCATCCGGCTTTTTACTGTAGAAGTAGATACTTTTCAAAATCCATTCTGTTTTATTTTTATTTATTACATCTTCTCGAAGTAAAAAAGGACCATGTTTTCTTTAAGACTTTATCTGTAGACTCGGCAATCCATTTAAAAATGCATAAATTACTCGCAAATGTATGTTTCATCCCCATAAATCAATGCATAGAAACACCATTTATCATTGATAAGCACACGGCACATTGCAGCTCAAACGATTTTGATATAAATCCCTCAGAAGAACTATATACTAAAAACAAACATTTTTTCACCTGTCGAAATTGGATAAAACTTAACAAAAGCAGCGACTTGAAATTTTTTTCAGCTTAATGAGCGTAATTAATTTAACTATTTTGATATTACCAAAACTAGCAAATAAATGTAATAATGAACTGGTTCAAATGTTAAAATCTTAAATCAAAAAAAATTAAACTAATACAAAATTTAAAGTTAAATTAAAGCGAAAACTTTCAAAATTAGGTAAATTCACTTGTTCAATTAATGAAAATCTTTAGTTAAAAAAAATAAATTAAATAATTGTTCGATTGAAATAGAAACGTTCATTAAAATCCGTTACACATCAATTTTCAAAACTTGTGACCGTCAACCGGTTCATTGAAATGGTTTTATTCATTAAAATCCGTTACACATCCATTTTCAAAACTTATATGACCGTCAACCGGTTCATTGAAATGGTTTTATTTTATATCCATTATGTTCATAGCGTTTTAAAAAAAATTCTTATTGCCCATATTAAAACGAAATTTAAAATCCAAAATGTATTTTTCTTTCAATTTATAAATGTTAAATGTAGTCTTTGCACAGCTAAAACTACATTTTAAACGCATTACCATAAACTTGTTTAATTTTTTCTTTAATCCAGAATACATAAATAAAATAAATTAACATTTATTTCATAATAAAACTATAACATCAGATACCAGCCATCCTGCCCAACAAAGAAAACCTAAACACAAAAAATTGTATTCTTCATATCTAACAATATATATTTATTAAAATTAAATAAATTAAAAGTAAATCTTACCAATCTATGCACCTCCAGGACTAATGCGGGGGCATATTCCTTTACACCCTCTCTATTCCTTTAGATCATTTCTGAGCTCAACTAAAATAATACAATTAAAGATATTAAATTAACAAAAGATATTTTAAAACTTTTAAAAATATTAAAATAAAATCTCACCGATAAATGCACCTCCAGGACTTATGCTAGGGGCACAAATCAAAATCTCGTGGGTTGGTTAGTGCCAACGCATACCATCTACAATTGAGCATAACTTGACGTATGATTAGTGTGCTCACGCTACTCCAGCATTAAAAATACCAGACCTAAAACAATAAATCAATATTAATTAATATTGTAACAAAATAACAATATTAAAATATAAAACCTCACCAAACTCCACATCTCTAGTAAACCAAATCATCTAAGAACCGTTTCATCCACTCAACTAGATACAGCACATACAAAACAGATCTCAAGTAATTGCTCTTCAGACCAGTTGTTTTCATGTACGTCTTCTTATGATATTCCAAACACAAAAACATACTAGTATATTTCAGTCAGTTGACCGAAAATTTTAATTAATACGTCTGAAAAACAATATTAACAGATATTGACCCTTTAAAAAAAATAAATAAAAAATATGGCCAATCACATAAGTTGTATTATTCATTACTTCAAAAAATAAACGCCGAGTAAGTTTATATCTAATATAATTCAAAGTCACCCAAATCCATTCATTCATTATTATATACATCCATTCAAAACCATTAAAAATCAACCATTCATTCCATCCGTCATTCATTAAACATAAACAAAAAAATGTATTAGCTTTAATTATGGCGTTTATTCCTCCCTTATAAGATAACCTATCAGGTTCCCTCTTATCCCTGAGTGAATGACGCCTGGGAGGAGTTCGATAAAGTGTTCTGCCTTGAAGAAATCTTCTCGGAGTATCAACATGGATAAACTCATTACTCCGATCAATCACCGTAGACTCCGTTTCCTGAATAGACTCATTGGCCATCGGCTCAGGGTTCTCCGGTATCGCTGGCGTAGACCCACAAAAATTGAAATCCATAGGACCTCTCAAAAAAGGGTTGGAAGATATATTTAAGGAAGACAAATTCTGTCTTGGTTCAACAGGTTCAATGTTTCCACCTACATATCCAGGAGATAAAATCTGCTCAGGGTTTCGCTCAACATAAGGAATACTTTCTTCTAAAGACTCTGCAACAGAAGGCATCTCACCAGGACGTAATATCTGCTGAGAATTTCGCTCAATGTGCGAAATATTTCCTTCTGCGGAGCCTACAGCAGCCGGCAACTCAACATGTTCGTTCCTTACACCACAATAGCCTATAGCAGGAGGATTAAAATATGATAGACTCTCCACCTGGTTACTCTCTAACCCATAAATAAATGGGTTTAAAAATGGATTATTAGAAGATCCATCTCCACAAGATCCAGCCACCACAGCCGGCTCTCTCTTGCGACGGACGACCACAGGATACACCACAACCTGGTCAGCCTCAGTTTTGCGGTTTCTTTCCTCCAATCGCAACTAAAACAAAAAAAATTTAATTCTCGTAACCTTCATTTCAACTTTTCTTCATATAGCATTGGTCTACTAACCTCTACATCAGAACCCTTACATCCATTAAACGTTAAACAACACAGAATAAAGGCACAGAAATTCTAAAATATAATTAGATAATTACTTTAAATAATAATGGATATAAATATTACCAAGATGTTATAGAGGGTACCTTGATCTTATCCATACATCCTTTTTGGCCACATATCTTCGTTATAAACTCAACTACATCGTCCAAACTCATAACTTTACCATTCCTAAACATTTACACATTTTCCATTTACTGCAAACAGCTTTATGATAAAATTAGTAACATTTTTTAGAAACACTAAATATTACCGAGACATAACAGAACAACAGCAGAACATCAGAACAGCCAACATAAACCCAACACTAACACCACCAAAGAACAGAGAGATTTCCAGACTCACAAGGTCAACTTCAGTCCATGCGTTAACTCCTACATTTGTATCCCCAACAAAAACATCTCTACTTAATGTGGTTCCACTGCACTCATTCGGAAATTTTCCCTCAATTACTCCATCCTACAAAATATACAGATTTGTCTAATTGCTTTACAAGCGAACCGATCAAGTCCAAATGTTGTGTGGGACCTCATGTGGCCACGGGGAAAATTTGAAATTCAAATGTTACTTCAGTCAAAAAGACAACTTTCAAATAAAATTTTATAAAAAATTATAAAGATCCCCAAAAATCTTGTATAACACACGAAATTAGTGTTGCTCCAAACACACACAGGAAGAACATGTTCATAATTAAAATAACAGTACCTTAAAACTTAGATGAGTCGCATTTCCTCCAATATAAGTGGAATAAAAATATTGACCGAACTGCCTAAAACAAATAAAAATTTAATAAGTTAAACTATTACCTAAAACATAATTATTAACTAAACTAAAAATAACACTAAAAGCTAGAATTTTTCCAATAATTTTAATTATTTTGTAAAATTAAATAAGTACAATTAGAATGCAGTACATTCCAAAGAAAATGACAGTAAACTTACCAAAAACTGATTGTATCTAATGATGAAATCGCAGGCATTTTCTAGTCTTAAAAACAATTTTACATTTAAATGCAAACAATATTTAACTAAACTTCAATAAAATTAATTTTCATAATTAAATAGCAAATAACGTAAAACATAAATTTTAAGTATATTCAAATAATTAAACTGAATAAAATTTAAAATAATCAAATTAAAACGTCCGCTATTAAGGCAGAATTAGAAATGAGTATCAAACACGATGCCAGTTCCGGGAAAATTCTAGAAAGTTCCGGCAATAGTAGCTTGCCTCCCCCAAAATCAGACCAATAAGAAGCATTCCCTCCAGCCGCACCACCAATAGGACACTCTCAAATCAGAAAGCTTGCCTCCCCCTTACTTCGGTAGTAAAACCGCCAGCTTTCTCATTGAAATACAACACCGGCACGTCTTCTGCTTCACGGCCGCTCCTACCTCCCGTACCGACACGGTTTTGTCTTTCCCCTAAAACCATACGCACTGTAAATTATGATTCAAACTTTTACACTGTAAATTAAAAATAACCGTAAATGTACCATATGAATAATACATTTTAAAATAACAAAATAATTTAGAAAACTAAACAAATAATCTTGTATTAACTATACAAAATAAAACATATTAACATACCTGAGAAAGTCGACAATTCGATGTTTTCAAAACCATCTGCGTAAGGTTCCTCTCTCGAAACAGATGGAATAGGGTTCACAAAGGTGGAATAATCAGTATCACTTTCCCTCTTCTTGGCCTTACGTATTTTACAACAACTACAGCCAAACCAAACTGTAACATATTCCAGGGTAAATTTTAAATAAAAATTTTTAGGAAAAAATTAAAATTAAAAATTTTCTCGCATTTTTCTTACTTACCAGTAAAAAATTCTAATACTCTAAAAATGAACCAGACTCCAGCAACAAGCAAAGCAAAAAGAAACCATTTATCACTCAAAAGTATTTCCAGTGAATTCATTTCAGGTATGCCGGCAGTTGTGACGTCATACATATAACCAGTAGTGTGTTCTGAAGAACGAACTACAGACGCTACGGTGGTTTCAAAAACAGGGGTTATGTTGACACCAACACTTCTATAACCCTGAGGTAAAATCATATTTTGTTTTTTCTTCTCCTTTACCGTTTCTGAAAATCATTAAAATAAAAATTACACGGATCAGCAGTTTTTGAAAAGGCTAATTCATTTCAACAAGGACGGATATACATAATACAAAACTCAGAACTAGACATTTTTTTAAAACAGGAAAACAAAGTAACACCAGGATACACAGATCAGTACCATACTAGAACTAGCCTGATAAAAGTACTAACAAAGCATTTCCCTCAAGAATATGAATATGAAAATATGAGGAAAATTGAAAACTTAATAAGATATGGTACAGCTATATCAAACCGGATATA